ATTAAGTCTGGGTTAAGTTTAAGCTTATTAAAAGTTCAGACTCAACAGGAATGTTCTTAATGTTTTCTCTGAATACTGTGTGGGTGCCTCAGTTTCCCCTGCAAGGTGCCAACTGAAGGTGTTGGGACAAAGAGATCAGGTGGCCTCCTTGTCCGGAAGAGAGACACAGGCCAGAGGAGGGAGTGTCAGTTTGGAGCTGGCTCGGGAAATGAGGAGAGGCCCAGAACTTGGGTCTGGGCTCTCCACCCCCCCAAGATGGACCTGACTGAGGGGTCCTGTTTTCTGTACCTACAAGCTCTGCTTTAGACCGTGTTCCTGTCGTCTAATAAACCTTCTGTTTTCCCGGCTGGCTGAGAGTCACGTCTGACTGCAGAGTTGGGGTGCAGGGACCTCTGGCTGCCCCAGGACCCCACCTGGGCGGACTCCCTGCGGAAAGTGCACGGTGTGGACGGGCATGCTGAATGCTCCGAGGTCAGACCCAGGCAGGTGTAAGCTCAGAGAGAGGAGGCTCCCCCAGAGTCCTGACTGGCTTTGAAGGAGTGGTTCCAGAGCATCCCACCATGCGCTTCCCGGAAGTCTGCGCAGGCACTAACACTCCCTCCTCTGGCCTCTGTCTCTTTTCCAGGCATTAGGAGGTCACCTGATCTCTTTGTTCTCCAACACCTTCAGTTGGCACCTTGCAGGAGAGCGGCCCAGGCCATCAGTTGTCCGGAGACAGGGTTTCGGCCATTCTCTGTGCAGACACCATCACACTGGCCCTCTCGGGCTTTGCAACAATCACACCACCTAGATCCTTAAGAAATGCATAGGGGAAACTGAGGCACCCACACAGTATGCAGAGAAAACATTAAGAACATTCCCACTTCGTAACACCTGTATACAACTAGTTATATATTTTAAAGGGTGTAAAATAATCAAGTATTGTGCTAAACACAATGATACTCCAAACTGACCACCACCTTTAAGTTGTGTGTTTTTCCCCTCAGATGAGGGCTCTGGGGTGGGGCTGGGGATGAGGGGTTCATAGTGCAGGAGGGTGCTCAGAGCTGGGGCTCAGGGTTGGGGTGCTGGGGGCGCAGGCTCTGGGGTGGGGCAGGGCTGGGGATAAGGAACTTGGGGTGGAGACAGGCTGCCCCAGGGCTAGGGCCAGAGAGGACTCAGCCCCCCCTTCCCCCTCCCTGGCAGCAGCAAGCTCCAGGGGAGGGACCCCTCCTCTTCCCCCACAGCACACTCACTCTGCACCACGGTCACTGCACATGCTCCTAGGGCCTCTCTCAGGTCCAGAAAGCCCACTTGCCTCCCCTATGGTGGGTACCGGGGGGTGGTGGTTGCCATCACGTGTGGCCTCCCCTGCTGCTGCCCCTCACCATAGCCTCACTGGGGATGGGGGATGGGGCTGCCCCTTGCCCAGCGTGGGGCAGGAGTGGGGTCTGCAGTTTGGTGGCTGTGGGGGGGGGGGGCAGGGTGTCACAAAATTCACCCAAGCCCCAGCTTCTGAAGTCTAGGAAGCCCCCCTCCCCAGTGGCGTAGCCAGGTTCTAACATCAGAGGAGTGAACACATAAAAAAAGGTGCCCCCGACATATCAAATTACTAATCAGGTAGTAGGGTTTACAATGTTCTAACAAGAGATTATGCTATGACCATTATCCAGTCAACTTGCACACTACTATTTTGAATTAGTGATAATTCACAGAGAGAGAAAGAAGAAAGCTGAATTTAGAGAACAATGATTAACCAGATTCCTGGTTATTCACCAGCCACTTTGCTCCAGTCCATAGCACAAAGCACCATAAACCCAGTAGAATCTGGCCAAGAGACTATTCACCTCAAATTGGCATCTGCTACACTCCCCCCCCCCCCATTCCCAGTCACCACTGTTCAGGAAAAAGAACAGGAGTACTTGTGGCACACGGCTGCTACTCTGAAACCTGTCACTGTTCAGGAGATAGCCAAGTGAAAAGGTGGCGTGGCTGAAGCATTTAGCAGGCAATTGAAAACTAGTCTAGAGTCTGTACAGTCCCTGAGAACACTGCTTCATTCTGAGCACTGGGGCTGCAGCTAGTCAGCAGTGAGACTGAGGAGACATAACTGGCACCTTAAAGCACCTTTACCCTCCTTCCTTCACAAGCTGCACTGAGCACAGTTTCACAGCCCGGGGCACAGCACTGGGGGGGTAAGTACGGGGGGGGGGGGCAATAACCCAAAGTCGCTCCTTTGCCTCCTGGTCCTGCCGCTCTCTCAGCCCCCTCCGCTGAAGAAATACCATGAGAAAAAAACATCCCCCCTCCCCCCCCTTTTCCTTCCTTCTCCACCAGCACCAGCTGGGCTTCAGAGCCCCCTTCCCTGCCGTGGCCACCTCGCTATGTATGGGGCTGCCGGGGACCAACGGGGCTGCTGCTCCTCAGCCCCCCGCCGCGCTGGGAGGCTGCGCTGTCACCCCTTCCGCTCCCGGCAGAGCCCACCCCGGCTTAGACAGTGGCGTAGCCAGCTTCTCAGTGCAGGGGGAGCAACCATAAATAAGGCGCTCCTCCTCTGGCCACGCCCCTCCTTGGCTCCTCCTCCGGCCGCTCCGCGCCCCCCCCCCCGGCTCCTCCGGCCACGCTGCGGCCATGCTGCGCCCCCCCTCGGAGGGGCTTGGTGGGGGGGCGGGCGCTGCTCGCTTCTTCCGGGGGCTGGGGGGAGCGGAGCAGTGGGGCGGGCAGCAGCTGGCGGGCAGATCCTCTCTCCCCGGCAGCTTCCTGGTTCCCTCGCCCGGGCAGCCCAGCAATTTTTTCAAAAGCGGAGCCTGCCGGGCCGCCGCTGGGCTCCTGCAGGCAAGGGGGGGGCAGCACGGCCGGACTCCGGAGGAGCCATTGTGGGGGGCGGCGGGCGCGGCTGGAGGAGCAAAGCGGCCGGGCTCCTCAGCCATCGTGTCCCACGCTCAGCACGGCCGCCTCCTGCCGCGGCTCAGGGCTCAGCGGCCGAGCGCTCCGCAGCTGGCGGGCAGATCCCCTCACCCCGGCAGCTTCCTGCTTCCCTTGGCCCGGCGATGTTGGGGCCGCGCTGAGCATGGGGCGCGATGGCCGAGGACCCCAGCTGCCTGCCGTCCCCCCCCCCCCAATGGCTCCTCCGGAGTCCGGCCGTGCTGCCCCTCAGACGGGAGGAGCAGGAGGCGGGTCAGCAGGACGGCAGGAATCAGGGCAGACAATCCCCCAGAACGGGTGGTTTAGTTTATAACTAGATTCAGCTTTTGCTGCACCATGCTGCTTGACCAGAGGCCAAACACAGCCCCCTTTAGGCATTCCAGGCCTTGGCTCCCGCCCACACAACCAGCTGTAATGTAGTGAGAGGTTACTGAAAACCCAGTGCACCACATGTGAGGCTCTTACTAATCCCAAAGGATCAGACACTTACCCCCAGGTCAATATGTATCTCAGCCCTTACCCGGATATCACGCTGCCAGCCAATCCTTGGTAAACGAAGATTCGTTAATACCAGAAAAGAAGAGCGTTATGAATGGTTAATAGATCACATGCACACAAATGGTTGCAAAGCCCTTAGATCAGAGGCGTGGCAGCGAGGGAATAGATCGCTGGTTTGCAAGCGTCTGGTAACTGGCAAAAGATTGGGCGGTCCTCGGTCCATTGTTCAAAACACCCCTTTTCCTTGTAAATCCACAGCCCGGAGAATCGGAGCAGGATGTCACAGCTTGCAATTCAGAGCCCAGCCCAGGTGCATGGAAAGTTACCGGCCCAATCTGGAGTCCAGGGTCACATGAGCATGGGACAGTTACTGGTAAAAGCTGGCGTCTTAGGTCACATGACCTCATCCCATGTCCTTGCACGGTTCGCTGAATCACGGGGGCAGCCAGCACTATTCATAACTTCCGATGCAAAGCTGCTACAGGCCTATAAACAGGATCATCCTACTTAGCAAAGCGTCACTTTCCCAGTGATACCTTCCAGGATATAGTGCAAGATTTAGTGCAACTTTGTAACCATGGGGACGGCACTGGTGTAACTAGTCATCACCATTACACAAGGTCTTCTCCTCCCTTGCCAGGAAATCCCCAAATCAATCCCCCCCGCCTTCAAGCCCCGTTTTCTACCCCCCAATACGGAAAAGAGTTTAGAGCTGCCCGGGCTTTGCCGTTGCCGGCTGTGAAACGGGGTCCTGGTGCAGAGCCGTTGATGCACGGATTGGGGTTTGGGGCTGGGGGAGGTATGCGGGCGATACAGCCAGACACACCTATGAGTGCTGCTCCGGGGCAGCTGTGGGATGCCCAAGGTGCACTTGCTGTCATAGGTGAGGGTCCCACATTCCCACGGCATCTCCAGGAGCCTCTCTTGTTTCATTTCCCGGCCCCTGGCTGGGGGCGCAGCCTGCGATAACGGGGAGATTCCTGCAGCCCCAAAGCACTGCTGCCACCAGGATCGGGCATGCTTCTAGGTAAATCTTTGTTCTTCGTTTAATAAACCTTCTTTGGGTTTTTTTTAATAGGGGCTCACGAGTGCTGCCTGGTGCACCGGCGAGGGGGGTCAGGGAAAACTGGAGTAGACTGTACCTGTGGGTGCCGCTGATGTAGCATTTCTGTGAGTAGCCAGAGTCAGGAGCAACATTCCCTCTAATTCGTTACGTCCGTGTGCGGAGTGAATTTTGTTCTGGGCACCAATATGGAGGGGATGTGTGGCGGGGGTGGGGCTGAGGGGTTCGGTGTGTGGGAGGGGGCACAGGGCTGGGGCAGAGGATTGGAGTGGGGGGGACTGAGGGCTCCGGCTGGGGGTGCGGGGTCTGGGGTGTGGGAGGAGGCTCAGGACTGGGGCAGAGGGTTGTGGTGTGGGGTGTGGGCTCTGGGGTGGGGCCGGGGATAAGGGGTTTGGGGTGTGGGAGGGGTTCAGGGCTGCGGCAGAGGGTTGGGGTTTGGGGGGGTGAGGGCTCTGGCTGGGGGTGCAAGCTCTGGGTTGGGGCCAGGGATGAGGGGTCTGGGGTGTAGGAGGGGGCTCAGGGCTGGGGCAGAGGGTTGGGGTG